TTTGTCAGTTTTGGCGAAAAAAGTTTAATATCGAATGTCACCGAGGGCGTAGAACAAGGTGTTATTTTCTCACTCCTTTTGTTTACATGTTTCGAATTTCAGGCATTCTGATTGGTCAAGAACGCAAAATGTAAACAAACGCGATGATTGGCTAACATTATTTGCCCTTGTTTATGCTGTGTCATTGCTGACTATGATGATGTGACACGGAATGAAATCCCCCTTTTGTTAAACGCATGTTCTATTGGACGCTCAAATATATAACATATTATATGTCTGATACATAACATTATGTCCTGAAAATTAGAATCTCCTCTTGCATGCAAAAAGTAGGCCTATTTCGAAGTTACTGCGAACAAATCGAAATTTTAAATAGCCTATTTTATCAATTTATGAAATTTGCTAATTGGCACAGCATGTTCTAATTTATTTGAATGTCACCTTATATGACTTGATTAACGATTCCCTTCTGCATTTCTATACCGTTAGAATCATATTTAACAATTATATCAACATGAATGAGCTTTTGCCTCTATAATACTTCCAGATGAACAACTACAATCTTTGACAATATAGATTGGGACAATCTAGTTTTCACATGCATTCGGTTGTAATATACCATTTGCTGATACATATTTTCCACCCTCCCTCCCCCCCACCCGTTTCAATGTTGGCGCCGCGCATCCAGACATCACATTTTTGTTGGCCCAACATTGAACTGGGGGAACGGGGGGCGCTATTCCTTTCAAAATATATGAAATTACAGCAGCTGTCCCATAGTTTCTGGCAAAGATTGTAGGTTATATATCAAAAGTGGTATTTATATGAAGAAATATGATACAATAATTAAGTTGGTTATTAATGAATTAATTAAATATGATTAGTTCTTAAGTCCATGATTAAGTTCAGGTTTATATCTTTGGATAGCCAGGGATTCCTAATATAGCAAAAGGGACCAATGGTTAGATTTATCAATTATTTTAGTGTTGCTGAAAACATGTTCAGCCTGAACATGTTTTCAACAACACTAAAATACCTCGGCCATTATATACTGGTTTGATCTAGACTGCGAGCGGTCCCTCCTTTCCGCGGGTTTAGATTTCCGGGCACGAGATTTCCGGGCACGAGAAAGGAAAGGAGGGACTGCAGACAACACAGTAAGAAATGAAATCCCCGTTGCCCACACAACGGAAAATTCCCATTGGTCGAAATCGATACGCCTGTCAATCAAATCTGATATGTAATAATTATGCTATAAATAATTTCCAGAGTGAATGTTGGTTTTATACAGGGTGTGTCAAAATGAAAGTAATCGAACGTCAGCGCGCTATTGTGTCTGAATTACTGTGTATGAACGAAATTTGTTCATCTTCGGAAAGACCGGGCTTTTAGCTGTTGAATGATATGTTCTTCATGCCAAATGGATAAAAAAGTAAGCAAGTACGAGTCTGATAAAAAACGGTAGTCAGATCGCATATTTTCACCGTTGTAGTATGCGATTCTGACTAATATTCAACAGCTAAAAGCCTCATCTTTTCGAATATGAAAAAAGATGTTCATACGCCGAGTAATTCACGTACAAAAGCGCGCTGAAGTTCGATTACCTTTTTTTATATACCCTGTAAATAAACATGACATTAACGGTTTCCTATTGGATAGATTTAATTGGATATAGTAATGTTTATGCAAAGGCGGAGCCAATTTTACAAGAGCGAAAAGTGGGCGTATTTCGTTTCTTGCTGTGTTGTCTGCGGTCCCTCATTTCTTCGAGGGACCACTCGCGGTCTAGTTTGATCAGACTTTGCGTCATCGTCGGGATATAGTTCTAAAAGGGCTTTAATATGTTGAAAGTGTTTGCAAGTAGAGAGGGGTTGATGGATTACAGATTCTGTGTGATATGAATGTTCCTTAGTTCTGGTGTATAAGCAGCGATAAGTTTTGCCGATGTACCTACTATTACATCCAGGGCAAGTAAATTCATAGACTACACCTCTCTACTTGCGAACAGTTTCAATATATTAAAGCCCTTTTAGAACTATACCCCGACGATGACGCAAAGCCTGATCATACCAGTATTATGGCTGAACACTTTTTTTTTCACAACACTAAAATAATTGATAAATCTAACCATTGGTCCCTTTTGCTATATCAAGAATCCCTCGCTATTCAAAGATATAAACCTGAACTTAATCATGGACTTAAAGCTTCTAAAAAACTAATCATATTTAATTAATTCATTAATAATTAACCTAATTATTGTATCATATTTCTTCATATAGATATCACTTTTGATATATAACCTAGCTAGTTTATCCTGATGATGACTGAAATATAGTCGAAACGTAGATAAATAAAAATGTTATCGATTTTTGGAGTTTCACATGTTTTGTATTTTATTAAAATACTCAGTGGTTCTAAAAATTATTGACTTAAGAAAAGTATTTGATCTTGTCTACCACGCAACACAACTTCAAAAACTTGCCCTCTATGGTCTTGATGACAATGCAATATCGTGGTTCAGTTCATATCTTAAGGCCCATTTACACTTGCAATTTTTACCACGATTTCTAGTGCGATTTTCGTCTTCTGACGGCATGTGAACGAGTAGATGAGTTATGAATGTTCTGAGTATAAGTTCCCTCATCTGAATATTTATAAATCATCTACTCGTTGGCATCCATCACAAGAAGAAAATCGCACTAGAAATCGCAGCAAAAATTACAAGTTTAAACAGGCCTTTACAGATAGGCAATTTTAAGTATCTGTGGACAATAACATGTCTTCAAAAGCTAACGTAGTATCTGGTGTTCCACTAAGATCAATATTGGGACCTATGTTGTTCATTCTCTACATGAATGAGTTAACCTCTAGCTTCATTTGAACGATACCGAAATTGATCTGTATGCTGATGACGCGACACAATATGTGGCTGGTTATAACGTACAGCATGTGGATCATAAACTGAATGGTGATTTGCAACCGGTGGTAAAGTGGTCAGAAAACAACAGGATGGTAGTAAAAACGGAGAAGACGAAGACCATGGTTATTGGAAGTAAGTTTAAAGTTCGAGTAAACCTTAACCTTGGTCTATATGGCTCTCGGGTTAAGACCACAGATAACGATAAGTTGTTAGGTGTTCATTTTGACCAGAATTTGAACTGAAATAACCACATTGACATGTTATGCAAAAGAGTCTCACAGCGACTTGGTATTTTTCGTCAGATAAGACATTTTCTACCATTTCCGGCAAGGATGGCTTTCTACAATTGTCTAATTCTATCAATAACAGACTATTGCTGTGTTGTCTGATTGATGTCCAATACCCGCGATCGGAGTCCGATGGAGAAATCCATCTACATGTGCTACCATCGATTGATCCGATGGACAAACATGTCTACCGTCGGAGAAACGTTTGTCCGATGGACAAATATACGTAGACAAATATAGCATAACGTCATGATATTAATTCGTAACATAAGGACTATTACAACAGTCAGGCATGACAAATAAGTCGGACCGTTATACTTTTGAAATGATTTTTTTCTCTAAGTGTCCATGTTTGAACGATGTAAGTGGCAAATGTCAGATGGTCCGATCGATCGATCGGATCCATCGGCCCAAGCGTGTTTACGGTCGGACAGAAATTTTGCCGATGGCGAAATGACGTCATTTGAAAGCTAGGGTTTGAAGGGTCTGCCACGATGTAAGTGGCAAATGTCAGATGGCCATGGTCCGATCGATCGATCGGATCCATCGGACAAGCGTGTTTATGCAGTCGGACAGAAAATTTACCGATGGGGAAATGACGTAATTTGAAAGCTAGGGTTAGAAGGGTCTTCCACGATGTAAGTGGCAAATGTCACATGGTCCGATCGATCGGATCCATCGGACAAGCGTGTTTACGCAGTCGGACAGAAAATTTACCGATGGGGAAATGACGTCATTTGAAAGCTAGGGTTAGAAGGGTCTTCCACGATGTAAGTGGCAAATGTCACATGGTCCGATCAATCGGATCCATCGGACAAGCGTGTTTACGGTCGGACAGAAATTTTACCGATGTCGAAATGACGTCATTTGAAAGCTACGCGGTTGCAAAGTAAAGAGCCTTGGCAGGAGGCTCTGCCACGATCTAAGTGGCAAATGTCAGTTTGTCTGATTGATCGATCGGATCCATCGGACAAGCTTGTTTACGGATGGACAGACATTTTACCGATGGTGAGATGACGTCATTTAAAAGCTAGGGTTGCAAAGTAAATAGCCTGGGCAGGAGGCTCTGCCACAATGTAAGTAGCAAATGTCAGATGGTCCGATCGATCGATCGGATCTATCGGACTATGGCGGGTGATGTGTTTTAAAATTCAATAACACATTTGGCAATGATAACCTAACATTTTGCTACAATAATAACACATTTGGCAACGATAAAGTAACCTGCTACAATTTTGTGGCGGTTACAAGACATTTATTAACAATAACAAAACATTCAATGACAAAGTATTATTTTGCAACAACATAAACGTATCGTTTTAATATTTGCCAATAATCGTACATTTGGCAAGTACAATCTCGTGATGCAATTGGGCACTAGCTCCAAATGGCGCGAAAACGGTGCATAAATGGCGTGTAATTATTTTCACACAAAATGGCGATCAAGATATCGAAGAAAACGGAGTACGAACTGCTCTTATAACGCGATTGGAAATGTTATTGACTTATGTAAAGAAATGCCTTTCAACAGAGCTTGATGATGTTATTGATCGTATTTGCGATTTTTCTGAAGAACTTTATCGATGCCTAGCAAATCTGACAGCACGAAATCCCGAAATTTACAGCGAATTGCTACATCAGGCCAGACTTCTCGTAGATGTCATACAACGTCCTATTTTGAATAATGAAAATAACAGAAACATTGGGAATCATCCTAAGGTCAATGCCAGGTAGACCAGAAATTGAAATTTGAGAGACCATGCAGCTGCAGTATTCACAGATGTATTTTGTGGTGAATTGGTCACACCATCCAGTATCTGTACAATTATATATCTAGCCTGTAGTAGAGATGACTGAATATCATCTGACGCCGAAGCTCTTTAATTTTTCGCCATGTTTACTTAAAAAAGCACATGTAATCCAATATCGCGAAAATAATTACGCGCCATTTATGCACCGTTTTCGCCCCAATTGGAGCTAGTGCCCAATTGCATCACGGGATTGTACTTGCCAAATGTACGATTGTTGGCAAATATTAAAACGATACGTTTACTAGTATGTTGTTGCAAAATAATACTTTGTCATTGAATGTTTTGTTATTGTTAATAAATGTCTTGTAACCGGCACAAAATTGTAGCAAAAGGTTACTTTATCGTTGCCAAATGTGTTATTATTGTAACAAAATGTTACGTTATCATTGCCAAATGTGTTATTGAATTTTGACACACATCACCCGCCAT